ACACACAGCCTCTTCCCAATATGCGTTTTTGCAATTTACATATATGCAAAAACGCATAAAAATCAGAAATCATTACATTCTTATGTCGGTTCGCGTCACAAAATTAACATGCATCATTTTCGGCTGTATCACCATTCTCATACATTTCATTATGTTAAGTCTCTCGTCGTGCCTTGCGTATCAAGGATGTGGCATAATTTTTAACTTTATAAATTTTTGACGCCTCCTAAACGATTACGATTTGCAAGCTGTGGATTGCTCATACCTTCTTGCCTGAGTAAAGGCTGCTGCACCCAACGGATAATGGTACTTTGGTCTAGGAGGAGGTGGTTTATGGAATTCGGCATTTAATGTGCCCAAGCGAGGCGTTGTAGCACCAAATGATGGTCGTGCAGTGCTCAATATTAGCGATGTATCCAGCCAATCTTCTCCAGTGTTTTGTTGAATTTGACCAAAATATGAGAGCTAAAAAAATATCTGCATTTACCACTAATAAATGACAGGACAGTTTGGGCGCAGTAAAATCATGATACCTTCAAGGTGTTTGTTGCGCTCTGCACACGTATCTCGTAAGAAGGACGCCAGGAAGCGGAAGGCACTTGATAGCTTACATCCAGTTCAACATCGCCACCACTGTTGCTCTCGAGAAGTAAGCAGATGCTCCTGCAATTGGTCGTAAAAAATTGTTTAGTCCCCAAATACGTTGTACTTCATGCTCCAGTTTAATGCTCCTAGGAATGAAGCACTAGCAGCGGATGTCGTTGAAGTTTCAAGCTGCTTAAACACCTAGCATCGTTGAAGTGCATGAGCACTTTTGCTAACGTTTGTTTTTTGTAGACCCTCTACTTTTGCTAAAAATTATATTCTCTTTTGTTTACTTGTACTTTAATCAACTGCGCTTCATAACATCTCTCTCTAGCTACGCAGAAGGCACGTTTTTCAATGTTGCTCTGACCAATGCTGCTTTGACTGCTGGTCAGCTGATGGCCATTCTAACATTCATTTTGTCTCTTGACAGGATTATCAACTCACGGTTCTCCCGACCGAAACCACTTTGGGAAGGGTACCTCCAGAATACTGTAAGAGATATCCAAAATCCTGTACGAAATAGGACTGAAAGCATTATAGGACTGGTGCGTTGTACATACTGGTTTCGAGATGTCGTTTCATCACTTGTTGTGTGTAGAGCATCATTAACTCGTCCCTAATGCTGATACTTTTAGACCAGCTATGGTAACTTACCAGGAGATTTGCTTATCTATGTTTTTCGTTTGAACAGATAGCGCGAAATATTGCATTTTTTCGATGTTCTTTGCTGCTCTCTCGTAGTACCTTTGTTTCACATACCTCTCTCCAGACTTAATTCTATCTGACATTTAGGCTTACTGTGACAGGTTTTTGCTTCTCTTTTCATTCGAAGCTACAGTTTTGACGTGTTCTAGCAGTAAAAGTGGGCGGCCTTTCCGTATAAGTGGCTGGTGTTGATTTGCTGCACTTCCATGGTTCTTTTCAAACTGATACTCTTTTTGCCGTAACTTCATGTTAAGTGCATATTTTAAAAAAGTTTCCGAACCTACTTGTAAAATGAAGGAACGCAAAAAGGTATGAGCAGAAACAAACTGGCACATCTCGTGCGCGCAAACAAAGACATGCTTCTTTGGGACAAACTTTTACGGTCATCAATGAAAACAGAACGGAAAGCGGAATGGTACCAGTTCACCTGATATGTGTTTTATGATGCTGCGTTTGATTAATCTGTTCCTCAGTTTTTCTGATTTCCTCATCAAGTTGGCGCAAATCCTCATCCAGCTGGCGTATCTTTGTCAATGCTTCGGCATGCCCTTGCTCATGATAGCTGACCAATTTTGATATATTTTCAAGTGTTTCACCAATGGCCACTGAATGTCCACTTGAACCATCCTCACATTTGACCATCGCTTTGCCACTCTGCAAATTTATTATTGTGCTTTTTCAAAAAGAAATTGTTAAATTTATGCTGGTTCCAAATTTATTTTCTGCCAGTTTTCAGGATTTTTGGATTTCTGATCCTCAGCTGGGCACTTTAGTTTGTACCCCTGCCTTCCTAAAGTGCCCATAGGTCATCTCTGTTGGTGTCGTTGAAAGGTCGCTTCCCTCAAAACTTATTAATATGCGACTACAGAATGCTAATAAACTGCATTTTGTTCTCACTAATGATATCTTGGCAACCTTTCGTCAGCCAGAATCTGATGGGCTGTACTGCAATGAAGACCAAGCAATTTGGTATTAAAAAATTCAAGATTTCTATTGTTCGTTTGCTTTAAAGCGTATGAAAATACAGCACTTAAACTGGTATCCTGACCTACCTTTTCAATAATGCTATCCAGCACAGAGATGCTTTTTTCAGCAATCTTTTTTTGATCCTGCATGTTTTTCTGCTTCTCTTCCAGTTTTTTCAATGTATTTCTTAACTCTTGTACCTAAAAATCATTTGAATAACATCAAGTAAAGGGAAAGTTTTGATTTAATGAAAAACGATAATGCATATTGAACATCTGCTTTTTGTTCCAGTGAGCGACGACAAAACAACAGCCCTGTCAGGGAAACACTTCATCGGGTAGAAAACCGAAAAATCCTTTTTGTACACGTTTATGCTTAGAGGCCGAAGTACTCGGGAAATTAGCTGGGGCGGCAGTACATGCCTAAATCAATCATCCGCAGATATGCTACTGATAGCTCCTCCGTTTGAGGGCTGATTACAGTCAAGTTTGTGGCGAGCTTCATTTCTTGGCACCAGTTTACCATCGAAACGAGTGAACGAATCGTAGAGGGATTTGTTATTTCACTGACTAGTTCGGAGTATGGCCGTTATTCCAATGTTAAATAGCGGCAACTATCCTGGTAAGTAGTAGAATTAGCGATTCTGGAAAAAAAAAAACAGTACGGAGAATTGAGTAAAGTGAAGCTAAGACTAATTAAATGGGCTATGCTCGATTCAAAGAAGCAAAAAATTGCCAGAAGCACTAGAATCTCGGAAAAACTTTGTGCTTGAACAGGTTTCGGAATAAAAAAGTGTTGTTTACCCGAGGTGCAGAAGATTCATCAGGTAGTGTTGGCACCTCTTTGAGCTGAACCTCATGAATGGTTGCATCACCACGGCCATTGACAACGACTGAGTTGCTATCAGCATGCCACGAGATGTTCTGAAAAACTAGTACTCTACCGTACGGATCATGAAAAATGCAGATGAAAGCACTTTCCATTTCTTAATGCTGGATTAATCGATCTGGAAGCTGCTAGAAGCCAGTCTGTGCTAGCAAAGGAGGAGGGGGAAAATTTCCTGGTTCTGTGTCTAGATTTTTTGCACTTTCTGAACAAATGGAATTCATTTTGTAATTTAAAGAATCTTCTTGATAAGCTTCTTGGGAAGGCCAGTGTGGAAGTAAAAGATGAGGTGGTTGACAAGAAGGGGAAAAATCGAAAAAACTGATTGCTATGTACTAACAACAGATATTAATGGCGTATATGTGTATTTGCAAAATTGCTTGAAGAAGCTTGATCAAGAGCATTTCAGAAAAGCTTGAAGCGAAGGGTCAAAATGACTACTGCTGAGGAAAATTTCATTTTCTGATCTAAATGACTTTTGCTGACGGAATTTTCTACCTCTGTCCATACCAAAGCGGAAAAGAGGCATGTGTGACCAACTGCAACAGACCTCAACGATCACTTCACTGACGCCAGCTGCCAGGGATGCCTTTAGGCTACGTTTCACTTCAGCGCGATCCAAATAGACTATCACTGATGTAATCTTCAGATCATGTGCGTTGAATGTATGTCGCCCAACAATGTTATCTGTTGTTGCCATTGTTTCACCTGGAACTGCCAATTCAGTCCAGTAACTGACATGGCAGGAAGAAACCCATGCGCTACTCGATAGCCAATGGTTTGAATTTTGCACAGTGAAGCCAACGCTGATAAGAAAATTGTCCAGAACTATTGCGACCAAATCTGCGATCTTTGAACAATAAGCAGATTTTACAGCTAAAGAGTGAAGATTTAAAAAAAAGACGGAAATGTCAATAAAATTCTAAAGAATAAGAATGGTATGCTAGTACTTCAAAGTTCGGAGAAATTACATGAAAT